CTGTGTTCATTTGACACACTGATCCACAGACTAGCCAACCACATCTTACCCTAATACGTTGCATGAATCCAACTTACAGTTCAATGTGTTTGTGTGAATCCAGATAACTGGATACATTTGATAAGCTATGGTTAGGTTAACCATGGGTGAGGGTATATGAACATAGCCTTAGTTATGCCTACTGAGGCATCTTATATAGACCGTTCTGATGATAGATAGATGTTAGATATAGATAGACGATAGATGAGAGAGAGAGAAATTAAGTGGGCTGGTTCTTATGTTCACAATACAAGATACCAACAATTTGCTCTCATAGTTTTAAGGTTCCTTTAATGATAATGATGTAATCCTTACTGAAGCAGGAAGCCTGTGCCTGGCCCATATGTACATACATCTCACCAAATTGATTATGCTTCCATATAAGCATATTTTCTCCATATTTAGGAGAAAGATTAGGGTAGAATCTTCTAATGGGGAATGTTTGATGTAGATATTTTTTTTACTTCATGAGCTACCCCCTCCCAATCTGAAATTGGACAATCCAGATACAGGTTCAATAAGTAGTAATTTGTACATCTTTCTTTTACAGTGGACATTGTTGCCATTCTATCACATCAATACAAGAAAATGGGCATTGTGATCTTTAGAAGGTAAATCAATTGAGCAATGCAACTTAGCTGCTGAAAACACCATAGAGACAGACTTTCTATGTCTTTAATACCTGTGCTGATAAAAAACAAAAGGGTGTTAGCATCAAGTATCTTAAATCTCTCTCTCTGAAACCTTTTGGTCTGGACAATATTGAAAATTATTTTGAGTGAATCACTGTAATTACTGATTACTGCGCAGTAAGAGTTCTTTAGTTCCATATCCCATCCAATTAGCTTCCATTTCTATAAAGCACCAAGAATCCAAAATCAGAGTTACAAGATATTTTGGCCTTAGTGTTGACATGAGATAATGAGCTCTGAGTATATCTTGTGACAAAGATACAATGTGTGCATTTTAAATATAAGTCAAAATGAATAATATGCATTGTATTTTAGCAAGAAGACAATGGCCACATTTCTGTTCTTGAGAATGTTCATCACTCCTTATGAATGCTGGCTTGAGCATTGTGATTTTTTTAAGCAGAAGAAGCTGCTGAAAACAAAATGTGCTAATGCAACATTTGAGCAGGTGACAAGGCTGAGATTTAATTCATATAAGTGGAGGATATGCAGAAGTTTCTTGTAATGACAGACCCTAATTAATTTATTCAATTTGGCACCATCCAACTCTAGATGATGCTCATTTTCCATTGCTAGGATATGGGTTCACAGCTGGCACACTCACATGGTTTAAGATTTGTCGAACAAACTAGTTCACATACCTTGATATATATCATGAACCATGGTGTATAAACCAGTGCTTAGATGCACACTTCACTATAAGCCCACACCAACCTGTCACTGAATCTAATCACAACTGCACAGAGAGGCTGCTAGGAAGGACAGAAGAGGAGCTAAACTATTATCAAATATACTAAGTTCTTCCAATCACAAAAGAGTCAAACCCTTTTGCTAAGACATAGTCAGTTAACCATGAAATGTGCTGAGTTGCTGCATTTCCAGGCTGCTTGTATTGATCTGTTAGTAGGGGAGTCCCATTAATCCTTGCTTGAAGTTTATCTGTTCACACATTTAAAGTATTTCTGGAGTTTTCAGTAAGTGTTAATCACAGCCCTCTACACAGCATTTTAAACAGTTTCCTTTGTGAAAATACATCATTCTGTATTTTATAGGGTAATTACTTAAACCTTTTGAAATAAAGCATGAATAAGATGAGGCCAGGAAACTTTCAAACTTTCATTTTGGTGACTTAATGGTATCCTTACTTTTTATTAATTAAACAAACAAACCTTAATGAACAGTTTGATATGGTACATTGACAATACGGTTAATACCTTAAAGAGTAAATGAGAAGATATAAGCTGAATTGCTACTTTGTCCCATGCAGTTTGTCCCATGCAGTTTTCTTGGGAACATACTAAGCAAGAGATAAAGATTGGCAATCCGACCTCTCAGGACCTTTCAAAAAATACAAGGCTCCTATATTTGTTTGGGATTGTATTGTAGAGGATGGAATTCAGTCACCTATCCTAAAGCTATTTACTGAAATTGCTCCTATCATGACTGTTAATAGCCTTGCTCCTGAGAAGGCAGGAAAGGCATGAAGAAAGTAAACTTCATCTTGCCTGCCTTTTGATTCAAACCTTCCAGCCTTATTGTTCTTTCAATCTTTTTCCCAGAATTTAAATATGAAAATAAGCTCAGATTCTGGTGACTTGATGGATATATCCCTGTGGCTTTCCTGACAACAGTAAAAATGTGGTTTGACATTATCTTCTTCTAGGATGTTTTCTTAGTTCCCAGTCTAATCTAAAGCTGTTTTTCTCTGGAAATCTTCAATCCAGGCACTAACCAGGATAGATCCTGCTTAGGTTCCCAGACCAGACTAGGTCAGTCAGACATGGTTGCCTGCTGAGTCATTCAAGTGGTACTAGACAGTAATACATCTGCAATGTTTTTTGGGTTTTTGAGCCAGTGCATCAATACCACGCTTTGAAGCTTTCCTTTGTTTCAAATGAAAACATGAAAGCCACTTGATTTTAACAACAGGGATGGAAAGAACAGAAAATCCATTTACCACAAAGCTTCTATATAGTACAATCTTAAACACGGACGACCTATGTCCATCCTCCAGTATGCCACTTTAAACTACTCTGGATTCATTTATAAAGTATATCTTTTTGGATCCCAGGGTCTAGGCGAGGGTAGGAGTGTAGAAATATCTCCAAACCACAAGCCCAAGCATCAGGGCTTTTACGTGAGAAGGGGAAAAGGAAAAGATCAGAAATAATGGGTTACAGGTATACTTCAAAAAGTTTATTTCCTTGTATTTTAAACACCAGCCACAAACCCAAAAACTACATGTCCAAAATGAGAGCATCACAATGATATTAATAATTTATTTTTGGTGTCATAACTAGGATATTCCCCCCCTTGGAAGTGTGTCAGAATTTGAGCCTCTTGTAGATGCACCTCTAAATCTTGAAATATTGAGTACCTTCCAATGACCAATGTTGTGTATACTACTACATGAAGCACATACTGCATAACTACCAATATAATATATGCAGTAAGACAGCAGTGAAGAGGGAGGATTGGAATTTAGTATTATGATTTGATGGGATAACTTTAAACTTGCCCACAAAATATATAGAGATTAAGATTATACACACACACACACATTCCGCAAAAATATTCTAAATGAATTTTACTCCAAGCACTTCCACATATTCTATTGTCAAAATATCTGAAAACTTCAAGATGTAAGTTTACCACTTGTTTCAAAGGGAGTAATATTTGCCAGGTATTACTGATGAGGAGTTGCTGAAAAGGAGAAATATTTTGCATCTTGAAATCAATTATAAGAAAGTATTTTCAGTAAATTCCTTTGACAATTTCCATATTACTATCATAACTGAATGATTCAGGTAAAAAACATATTTTATGAAAAATTGAGAGAGGGTGAAAAAAAAATCCCACACGCACAAACTACCCCTCGCCTCTCAAAATCTAATTTGCCAGTTAGCAGAACCCAGAGGTACTCTAATAGTCTGGCTAGCAGTATTGCAAAAACAGAAACTTTCAAACTTGTGGGCATATTTGGAATGTTGAAGTACCACAGATAACATGAAGCAATGATTTGCTGAAATGGGTATCCCTTCTTCATAATCTTGTACAGTAGAAACTTAGCTCCAACATGTAAACTTTCTCCTTTAAATTCAGCCAAACTGTTCAGTATTTCTGCCCTCTACTTCTAGGAAAAATTCGTAAGAGCCAGTACTGTAATTATAATTACAACTTTCTCTCTTTAGAACCACCCTCTTCTTTCTTATTTTCCCCTCTCCTTCAAATACAGTCACATATGTGCTCTTCCAAGTTTCATCTGTGGGATCCCAATCATTCCATTGCTCTTTATCCTTCCCAACCACATCTTTGAATCTCCTTCTATTCATCCCATTGGACTGTCCCCAGCTCTGCATTCTCTACTTCTTCCCCGTATGTGGTTCTCTATGGCACTCCTCTTATCTCACTACCATCCCCATGCCTCAGCACCTTACCAGTCAATGGCCGTGGGATCTATCCTTTCTTCTCTTTGCTTCTTTCAGGCTGCCAGAAATACTTCCAAATCAGGTGCTGGCATCCAGCTGCCTGCAATCTTTATGCCCTAAATATATCTTTGGATCTGCTTTAAGTTGGCTGGAGACCAATACTTCACGCTGAAGTACTCCCCACCCTTTCTAATTTTAAAAATAAAAGAAACAGTTTTTAAAAATCACAAGCATTCAGCATTTTGCAAGTGTAAGAAAAGATTTACATGGTGGAATCCAATCCCATGTGAGATATTACAAAATCACATTCCTTGCAGCTATCTACCTAAATGGCATCAAACATTTTTAGAAGATGCTTAAAAGAGTCAGTAACGTAATAAGGCAAGTATCTGCAGCAGAGAATCCAACGCAGGACAGACATGTAGATTGTGCATGCACTATGAGAAAATGCCTTTAAAGTACATTAGAATAATATATTTCTGCTTTATCAGTCATATTTAGACTTTTAAACCATTGGTGATAATACTCTTACAATGAGTCTGAATGTGCATGTTAAGAAAATTCCTACATTTCTCTTATTACCAAACTTGATTTGTGGTAATAATATTGTTTTAACATAAGCTTCAACAATGCTCTTGTTAAATTTAGGCACATTTTCAATATCTAAGTGTTCAATCATGGGCGAATTGAACACAGCAGCAAAGAGCATATTAAAAGAGCATGGAGGTTATTGTTTAAGTTGTAAACTTTGTGGAGTTTATTTAGTTACACTGGAAGACCAGGAATAAACCATTGTTCAATTCTCACTAATCCTTCACCTCATTTAATACTTTGAAAATAGTGAGAGTTTCACAATTTATTAAAAAGGTTGCAAACAGTACAAGTCAGGAGATACATACTGTATAGAAAAGGTTTGGTCATTTAAACATTGTTCCCAGCAATTTTTCTGTAGAACAACTGAGAGGTCATAAAATTTAATCTATGAGGAATGTTTCTACACATTCTACTAAATGAGTAGAAAGCATACTAGGAAAAAAGTCAGGCTTCCTATACATTCAAGCCTGCATGGGCAAGAATAGCTGTGTCCATTTCTCCAAGTAGAAAACTTGGCATCTCCCCCTCCCCGCCACATATTTTAGATTACAATTCTGATAAATCAAATGGCTGATGGTCAGGGATTATGGGAGTTGCAGTCTAAACATTTGATGGCACTGGATTACATACTGTTATATTAGAATATCTGCAATCGTTTAAGGAGATAATGGCCCAACTTTTCAACATTAATTGTACCAGAAATTTTAACTCAATGAAAACAACAAAACATTGGATAGTACACATCAACTTGACCTTACCACAAAATACTTTGGTTTAATTTGGAAAAAAAATAGAGAAACGTTTCATCAGAAGAAGAAAAAAAGAGTCCCTAAATTAATTTAGGAGGATAGTTATGTTTCCCTAGTCATATATTTTCTGTATATCAGTTTGAATGCAAACCATATTTCCTCTTTCACCCTCTCAACATTTCTCACTGCACCTCAGTTAACAACTTATATTGGTGTTTTTTTTCTTTTGCAAATGAAAACCAATAGCATTCTCTTTTAAGGCAACGTCTTAATTACATATAAAATGTTCTTTTGAACTCAAGGCAGCTTTCTCCACAATCTTCCCCTTGGGAGTGATCTCTCTTCTTGAGCAGTACATGGCAATAAAGATTTGATGCATTGGGGAACATCTTGAAACTCTTCTTTAACTGTAACAACATCCAACAAGGCAGTTGCACTTGACCTGGACATTTTGGACTAAAGTCATTGCTCTCCATTTCGTCGTCTTGCATATAGACCGAGGCAGGCACAGAATCCAATGCAACTGAGAGCCACACCTAGCAACAAGGCTAATGCATCGCCGGTATCCAAAGCTTCCACCACAGGCAGGCCAAAAAGCAACAAGAAAAATACCAAGAAGAGTTGTGAAGCATTCCTGGTGGCAGCCATGTTCCCAGTCATTACTGATCAGATGACCCTGAAGAAAAGACTAAATACATAGAATTGGCCAATCAGATGTATTTTAAACACAGAGAGGAAAGTAAACACATTGTGAGGGCTACTAGATACCAAGTAGAGCCCAGTTTCTCTAAGTTATCTGTGTGCACCAGCATAACAGTCAAGGCCTTTGGGAAAGGAGCTAAGTGTAGATGAGAAACATTTCACTGTGCAAGAAAGAGAATGGGAGAAATGCTGCTTGCAGTAAGTTCTCATTTATTCTTCCAGTAAGGCAGCCATTCTCCCCACTCCATTACCCCATCCCAACTAGTTTCCCCACATTTTTCTTTATAGGCTGTATTTCATAATCATTAAGCAATACACATTCCAGCTGCAGATTGTGTGGCTCTACTGTGAAGCATGGGTGGTGTGGTTCTGGCCACATAAGCATTATGCCATCAGAAACAAAGGGAATGATGAAGTTATGGCAGAGGTGCTAAACAGAAGTACCCTGGGCTGTATATGGTCCTGTGACCCCTCTTTCTTCAGCACCCAAAGCCATATTTGGGTACAATTTTCCTACTGCTTTGTGGTGGCAAAAACCTAAAATAATCTGTATTTTAAATGATATAACAAAGAAGTTTCTCCTTCTCCCTATAGTAGAGTTCAGATACAATGATCTTTGGCTGATACACAAGAGTAGAGTAGATTATTCTCAGAATATGCTGAAAATGGTCCTTCCCTATCCATCTCGTCACAGTTTACGCCACTTTATTTTATTTATATATTGACTGACTGACTGACTGACTGACAGATAGATAGAACAATTACATTCAACACAGGACAGGAATCATGGTATCATGAATGTGGAAGGGCTAATTTTGGCCAATGAGTCCAACCCAACTATCCCCAATAGCTGGTTGTCCAACCTCTGCTAGAACACACCCAAAGAAAGGAAGTCCACCACCTCTCCGACTCCATTGTCAATTTGCTTTTACTGCTAGGAAGTTTTTTTTTTTTTAATAGCCAGAATCTGCCTTCCTCAAATTTTAGGATTAAGAATAAGGAGTAAATCATAATTTCTCAGTTTGAATATAGAGAATTTTGTGGTTTAAACATGCACACCACTGACAGAGCAAAAGTCCACAGCTGGAACCATCATGTCTGAACCATGTAGGTAATTAGAAGTAAGATGCTCCCTCTAACCTTTTCTGATCCAGAGTGTGTTATTAGTATAAATACTTACTTTTTCAACTGGAAAAGTTGAAAAATGAACACCCATCGTAAAATGAGAAATAGTTTTTGTGTTGTTAATATCTTAGTTATAAACACTATGAGGAGAGTTTAAGAATTCCATAAACTGTCCAAAGACTACTGAAAATTCTTATTTATATTGGGAAGGAAAGTTTAGCTAAAAGTCTCTCACTGATATTTTTAGGATGTTCTATGGCTTTTGGGATGCAGCCTTGTGGACATGCAAATAGTATCCTATCCAAACTGACAGCCAGTTCAGTGTAGTGGTGAAGGTGCTGACCTAGAAAGCAGGAGACTGTGAATTCTAGGCCTCCCTTAGACATGAAGCCAGCTGGATGACATTGGGCCAGTCACTCTCTTTCAGCCCAACCCACCTCATAGGGTTGTTGCTGTGAGCAAAAATAGGAGGCAGGAGTATTAAGTATGTTCACCGCCTTGATTACATATAAAAAAGGCAGGATAAAAATATAATCATAATCCTCACTAAGGCCAGCTCTGTAATACAACTTAAGCACTTGCAACATTTAAACAGTTCTCAACCTTGTCCAATACAGTCCACCATGTGCTTTTGCACACAGGAAGAAAAGAAGGGTAAAAATGCCCCCAAGAGCTCAGCTCTTAGTGATTTAATAGATTTATCAATGCATTTTTCTTGGCAATGTACTGAAGTGCTTTCTTTTTGCCTTTTCCACTTCCCAATCTAGCCTACAGCCCTGATTTTAATTAGTAGTCTCCCATCCCAACACTGCCATGTCCAACCCTACTGACTTGTTGACCCAAGGAAAGATGTAATAGTAACAGTAACAGCAATAGCAGTCTTTTCTTCAGAAATGTGATGCTCTTGTTGAAATGCTTCCCTACTATCACAGCTCCTATACTGGGAAAATAAATACTTAAACTGGAAAAAATTATCCTGCCTCAGGGCGAGACGTTCTGACAGTCTCATAAGTGAAGCAAATAACTTATTGCAGAACATAACCTACATACTGACCTTGACATGCCTGTTTTAATACATGTTTACATTTATTTATTACAGATCAGTGATTCTAAAAGGCCAATTTGAAAGAAGAAAGCACAAGCCAATTTGTTTGTTGCAATTACACAGCTGGGAATCAGAAATTCTGAAATGGACAGCAAATTGCCAGGTGACCTTCAAGTACCCTCTACTAACACATAAATTAAATAATCCCTATGATCATGGAACAAAACTGTTTTTGCTTAAACATAAAAAGTCATGCTTTATTTAAGCCACTCGTGCTTACATTTGTTAGTGGGCCTTTACACAGTCACACTGTATGGCCAGTACAACTCTAACAAATTATATTTAGGCCATGCAACACATACATTTTGATTAAATTAGATAATTTACAATGGTCTTATGATTCTGAGCTACGAAATATGAAACCACATGGTACACTAAGCTAAGGGGCATCCTGCTCTTCTTCCCATTCTAGCATTTGTATTGATTGCCAAGGCCACATAAAATAAGGCTTGACAAATATGCAGGCACGAGATACAAAATACTCATTCCACCACCCAAGAACACAAAGCATTACTTTAAGGATTCCCTTTAGAACAAGAGTCAATTACCAGGAGCCAGTTTGGTGTAGGGTTAAGGTACCAGGCTGGAAACTGGAAGACGGTGAGTTCTAGTGCCACCTTAGGCACGAAGCCAGCTGGGTGACCTTGGGCCAGTCCCTCTCCCTCAGCCCTAGGAAGGAGGCATGGGCAAACCACTTCCGGAAAAACCTTGCCAAGAAAACTGCAGGGATTTGTCCAGGAAGTCACTAGAAGTCAACAATGACTCAAAGGCACCAAATCTATCTATCTATCTATCTATCTATCTATCTATCTATCTATCTATCTATCTATCTATCTATCTATCTATCTAGGGACAAAAAACGAAGACATCAAAACACTTATTGTAAGCTTTGTCCAGAATGTGAAACAAATTAGCAAGGGAGCCTGTAGTATCTTAAAGATTTAACAGATTTATTGCTGCGTAAACCTGCAGGCACGCAGGATGCGGCCACTCTTCTGGAAAACTCAGGTGAAAGATAACCCGGCAATTCCGAGAAACGCCCACTGAAAGCCGCTCACCTGGGGGAATCTGTCTTCTTTCCTTCTTTGGCCAACTTCGAGGTCTTGGAAACCATCCGGCCGCCCTACTAAAGAAAGGAGAAGGGAGGGAGAACGCGCACCCGAAAGCAAGCTTGCTCGGTTCCCCGAAACGGATTAAACCCGCGAGAGATCCACTGACGCCAGTGAGAGGCTGGAGGCAGATTAAGGGACGTCCAGATCAAATGCTTCGAGTCACGTGCGGCAGCAACCCTCAGCTACCCGCGCTAGCTTCCTCGGAAAGCACGTGGCTCAGCTAGAGCCAGGGCCGCTATCAAGAAGGAACGGACCATTGAACCACAAAGGATTATCTGGGGCGTTCCGGGCACCCACCCCTAAAGCATTAGCCTTCCGTGCCCGTGGAGCAAACGACGAGATTTACCTTCCGGGAAGCGGCCATTACCAGAAGAAAGAAGAGGACCTGATTGGCTTGCGCAATCCGAAACCGTCGGTGCCTACAACTTCCGTCATGCATTGCGCAACGGTCTCGTTAACCCCTGAGTGCCTAAGAGACTCTGAATGCTCCTTGGGGCGTTACTTGCAATCCCACGCGTCTTTTGGTGTTGCAGTCAGGTGAAATTCAGGCCTTAATCCAGTGTTTCTCAAACTTGGCAACTTTAAGATGTGTGGACTTCAGCTTCCAGGATTCCCCCGCCAGCACTGGCTGGGCAATTCTGGAAGCTGAAGCCCACAAAAGTTGCCAGGTTTGAGAAACAGTCCTTTAATCTAAGGCGACCATAACTTTCTGCAATAACCGATGCGGCCACTAGAGAGTAGCAAAGTGATACAGAACACACTGACCTTTTGCCGCCATCTAACGGGTGTCCAGATTTTTAAAGTCCAGGTATGTTAGTCCTGTTTTAACACTTCGCGGTGAAACTGCTTCCCCTTGTCCAAATCATAATAAAACCGCAGCGAAATGGAGCGAACTAGACTAAAATTTGCTGTGGAAATCCAGCAGTTCTATTCAGTTGCAAAGAAATACATCTTTACTAATGCAACAAATTGAGGATCAAATAAGAATAAGATAAATTTAAATTCTTTAATTCTAAATGTTACATAGATAATGAGGATGGATGGATGGATAGTTGGATGGACAGACAGACAGATAGTTATAGAAATGCCCTCTAAGGTAAGAACAACTCTGTACAGTAATAATAAGATTATTATTATTGGCATACCTAAAATATATATATATTTTAAAAAAACTAAAATAAGCTGTCATTTTATTTAAGATAAAATAATGACAACTGAAAGCGCAGGAAATATATATAAGCAAATATTACAAAATGAAATAACTAAAATATACTAAATTTGTGCTGGAGCAGTCGTGCCCTGTCTTATGATTTCTAGTTGGAGAAGCTGTTTCACAGGATGGAAAAGTCCAGATAGGGTTGACTCTTATAAGCACCTAAGGCTGTTCAGTGCATCGGAAGTTCCATCAGAATACGCAGGAACTCAGATTGTATGGATCCTATGCATTCCAAAGGCTGGCACAACAGGGAACTAACAAATTCTCTGAACCATTATGCCAGTCACATGGAAACAATTGAAGACAGAGCTTTTCCTGAGGGCTTTTGGGTGTTGACGCCAGGTATTGTTTTGGGTCCATAAGTATTGTATTTTTTTGTTTTATGATTATATTATTTTCTTTTGTGAGACTCTGTTGATGATTGCAGTGAGAAATAATGATTAATAAATACATATTCAGGACCACACATTAAAGACATTCCTCTTTATGCATGGGTCATTGTGTAACCTCAACTTATGATAAAAAAAAACATTTTTATCCACCTATCAAGTTCTTCCCAAGGACCTGGGATAGGCAGATGCTGTTTGATGGTGTTAAAGGTATCACCGCCGGTTGCAAGCTGTTCCAAGTAAAGCTGCATTTTGCAATTGACTGAATGGTGATTTTGTCAATGCTGATGGTCTTCAAGTGGTGCTCCAGAAGTTTTGGGATTGCACCTAAGGCACCTATTGCTATTAGTACTATCTTTGCTTTCTTTTGCCACAGACGTTCTATTTGCAGTTCTTTATTTTGTGATTTTCTCCATTTCTTTCTCTTCTATTCTGCTATCTCCAGGTATTGCAATGTCCACTATCCAGACCTT